GCTGCAGCCTTGTGCTCTGCTCCCGCAATGCAGCGCACTGGATGTGGGTGCTGTGGGGATGCTCTGTGGGGCTGTGCTGTGCAGAGGGTCAGTGCTGCTGTGTCTGCTCCTCCCTTCTCAGGTGATTCCCGACTCAGATGCGCACCGAGCCGGGCTGCAGGAAGGAGACCAGGTGCTGTCCGTGAATGATGTGGATTTCCAGGACATTGAGCACAGYAAGGTGGGTGCTCCTGAGCAGGGGGGATGAGGGCAGTACTGTCCCTGCCTTCTCCCTTCAGGCCTCTCAGCCTGCACCACCTCAGTACCTGTCACCAGTGTTACAGCAAGTGTGAAGCAAGCTAAGTATCTTCATTGATAACATCAGTGATTTTTTTCTCTGTAACTTATCCCTAGTACATGTGTAGAGCAGGCAGAGTAATTTACAGTGCAGAGCACACATATCTGATATTAAAGAAAAAACCCTCACTGATGAGGAGCGGAGGAACGTTAACCCGATATGCCACAGCTCTCAGCATTCCTTCTGAAGCATCCAGCCTGTCAAAACGAGCTGTTGTCCATGTGCTCTTAACCTCACCTGCAAACCAGCTTGGTCACTGAGCAGCTCTTCCTTTCAGGCCGTGGAGATCCTGAAGACAGCCCGTGAAATCACCATGCGTGTGCGCTACTTCCCCTACAGTAAGTGCCTGCCAGCGTTGGAGTGCAGTGGCCGCTTCCCCTGGGAAGCGGCCTGCCATGCATTCCTGCCAGCTCCAGCTTTGCTCGGCTGTCCTGGGTGTAAGGACRTGTGGTGTCAAACTAGCAGCCTGCAGATCAGGAGGGTGGTAGATTTTGATTTGGGGTTGAGGACAACTACTGAGTCAAAACAATAAGGAATGTCTCCAGCTACCTGCATGCAAACTTGTAGAGCAGGACTTAACAAAGCAACACTAAAAGCTAGAATGACTGCTTATGAAAGTGTTAATTTCAGAGCTGGAGGAGGAGGTAATTATCTTTAAATAACACAGGAGTTAGTTCTGTCACTAGTAAAACTATGACGATGGCAGACACTGCTTGTAATTTTATCTCTTCCCTTGTACATATGTTTTTTGGGTTGGTTTTTTTTTTTTTTTTTCTCCTTCTTTTGGTGGGAGGAAGGGATGGCCAAATTATCATTTAAGGTTTCTGCAGCCATAAAGTTTGGCAGTCGGGAGGGGAGCAACAAAAGAAGTCAAGCCAAAAAGTACTCTTTGTAAAAACAGAAAATGACCCTGTAACATTTTGGCTGATTTTCCCCCAGTGTCAGYGAGCATTTCTCCCATCCTTTTAGCGTTGCCCTGTCTCTCCCTTCTAGATTACCAGAGACAGAAGGAAAGAACAGTCCACTAATAAACAGTTGCCTGCTGGGGCCCTCTGGAGTCCAGCAAAGTCTTCACTGCCTTTCCTCAAGATCCGAGATGACACATCCAGTTTCAGCTCTCACTGGAGGTACAGCTGTCCCGCTGGCTGCGTGGGCATCAGCTCTGCTTCCTGCTTGCAGGGATACTAGAGTCTTAATTACTTGGAGATGGATAGAACTTTAGTCTGCACTTCCTGAGTTAGGTCCTGGAACAAGCTGATGGTGCTGATGTGGAAATGGGAACTGGAGGGCAGCATCTTTAGACAGAGACCCATTTCTGGTCTAGCAGGACTTAGATTTTCAGAGTGCTCTGCTGGTTCTGGATCCAACCCTTGCTTCTAAGATGTGAGGCCAAGACCGTCCAAGTGTGCTCAAGCAGAGCATGGCCATAGTTTCCAAGGGATCAGCTGGTTTGTTTCCTCTGGTGACACAAAATCCTTTCCTTCTTCACTGTCCTACCTCTGCTCTATGCTACTGGGTTTGCTTGGAACTTGAGGAAGAGGAGTAAAATCCAGTCAAAGTYGAAGCACATCTCTCACTGTTGTGCACCGCTCTACCAAGGCACTGTGTTGTACCTCTTTGCTGTTTAGCAAACCCATGTTACTGTTTCTGAACTATGGACGTGTAGTGAGGTTCCCTYTGATGCACTGCTTGTGTGTTTAAAGGTTTCACCTGCTGGGGCTTCTTCCTTCCTTTGGTACAGTCCTGTCTGTCCTTTCCACAGTCAGAACTCCTTGCTGCTTTGAGGGAAGTTCCTCCCTTTCCCTGTTCCTTACACAGCTTCTCTCCTGAACTGGTGGAATCTCATCCACCTGTTATTATAAAAGGTTGGATGGTGGCTGCTCTACACAGGAAAAAGGCGGCCGTGCCCTGTGCCAGGAGTGCAGGGCTGAGAGAACCAACTAGTGCCCGGCAAAGCTGGGTACAGCCACGGGGGGCACATAGCCCTTAGCATAGGTGAGCAGAACAGCCCCGTGCTCTGGCCTTCGATGCAATGTACTTTCCATCTGCCTGTAACAACTGATCTAATAAAACTACTACAGCACCTGGACTTCATATTATTTCYGTGCTGGAAATCTCTGGAGAGGGTTGGAGGGTTTGTGTTTATCCCTGTCTGCACTAGGCAGAAGCAGACCAGAAGCAAGGAGCAGCTCTGCTTGCCCCTCAGGCTGGRGCAGGAGCTGGCTGGACCCACAGTCACTGTCTCCACTCCCTTAAAAGGCAGTTTCCACCCTCACCCGCTGTTCAAGGCAGCCTCAGCTGAGCTGGGAGGGGCATTTTAAACTGCCAGGAAGAACAAGAGCTGTGAAGGGGATGGGGATGCTGGGCAGGGCACTAACTTGAGACAGCCAACAGCAGCAGCCCTAACCTAATCTGATTGGCCTTAATGCGGAATGTTGGGCCAATTCAAGACAAATTAYAATTTTTTTTTCTGCCAGAAAAACCCACTCACTTGTGAAGCCTTGTTTGTAGTGCAGAGGAGGTAAGGCAAGCTGTTCTCTAGAACCAGGCCTGGAGGTGTCACCCTTSACCTCTGATCTCACACCGTTCCAGCACTTACAGTCAAGGAGGAAGGATGGTGCCCTCATTACACAAGGGTAATGTTTCCTAGTGCTCTGTCCTCATTTCACCCAGCTGTTGTGCCCACACTTGCTGGCCGAGGGTTCTGTAAGCAGCCCCTAGCCCAGGGCTAGATCTGAGCTCTGGTGCCTGCAGGGAACACTGCAAACACGAGAACGGCGCTGCAAGAGGAGCCCCGGACGCTGCTCACGAGGACTGGGCAGACCTGCCAGCTCCAGCACTGTCCGTCTGTTCTCCTGTCTCAGACACTGCACGAGCTGGAGCCGCTTCTTCCCTCTGTCCCTCCTTGGGGCCAATGCTCTCCCGGCCATCCTGCTGCCCCTGTGACGGTCTTGCTGCGGGCTAGTAAGAATGAGTGGATTCCCTCCCAAGGCATCTTCATGCCTTAGATACCTTGGCTGACCAAGGGGTAATAGGGTTTGTGCTGCTCACTAAAGTCCGTGTCATCCTTCTGCCTGAACTGGAGGGAAAAATTGGATTAATTAGCGAGTCCTGCAGGGAAAATAACAGGTCCAACAACATGAGATTTTTTGAGCAGTCACGTGCCTTGGAACGGCCTTAGCTTGTCAATGAGTAACTCCCCAGTCAACAAAGCAGCAAGCCACAAKCACTGCAGGTAACTTGACCTTTTGGAGCAACAGCAACAACCCCAGAACAAGCTGTATTGTGTTAAGGCACCAGCAGATTACACCTGAGAAGGGTATCGTACAACTGCTGCTTTCCCTGAGCACAAGAGCTCACATCGTGAGAGGAAAAAACTGCCACCCCATGTTCCTTTTTAAAAAAAAAGGAAAAAAAAAAATCAATCCCCCCTACCCCTCCTTTTAACATAAGGCACGCAGGTGAACCCGAGCAGCATCACGTAGTGTTCCTCCCTCTCTTCCTTCCTTCCTTATCCCGGCGGTGGGAGCAGCATCAGTTCTCCGAGCCGCTGTGGTCGCCCCTGTCATCCTTCACCTCGGACAGGCCGCTCTCGTCGATGTTCTCGAGCGAGGCCGCGCGCTGCAGCACCAGCTCCGAGAGCGCCAGCGCGGGCAGCGTGTTCTGCTCGGGGTACAGCCAGGGCTTCCTGCTCGCGTCGTGCTGCTGCTTCCACGCGGGATACCTCACACAGGCCTTGTGCAGCTTCTTCAACATCTGCTCGGAAAGCAGCACGGAAAAATAAGCATGGATGCTTAAAGGAGTTCTAGGCACATTTCCCATCTGGCCACTACTAACTCCTGGCCCATTTCTTTTGTGGTTACTTAAGAAAGGACTCAGGGCCCAACGCAGAAAAGGGCAGGGCAGTTAAACTCCTTTACGGGACCATCTTCTGGTTGCCCAGACCACCTAWAGACACCAGCTGCTTTAGGAGGTGTGAAATGAAGCCTTCCCACCCCACGACGACTAAGGACTGAAGTCCTTGGCCACTCTGTGCCCTGCTGTGGCACCACAGGCCTCCTCAAGCCCAGCTCTGCCACTCAGTCCAGGAGCTCCAAAAGCTACTGAGCCTCAAGAGTCAGTTCAGATGGGACAAGACAAGTGGGGATAAAGCAGCTCACTGCACAAATATGACCAGAATTGTGCTATTATCCGCTTCCTGCTGCCTTCAGAAGTGAATCAGAGTCACCTGATGGGACCAGTAAGGCTGGTGTAATGTAATATCACCCCAGAAATGAGCTAAAACACTAATTTCCAAGCACCTTCTTGCACAGCCCTGCCACAGAGTCAGGCCTGGCCTCGGGCAGCCTTCACTCCAGCCGCAGGGATGGGACCCAGCATATGCTCACTACACACCTGGGACACAGACACTCACCATTGGTGCCAGGTACTGGGAGGCTTTATTTACAACCCACTTCGGCAACGACCCTAAAACATTGAGAAAACARACAAACAAAAAACAAGCAGCGGCAGTTGCAGCAGAAGTCGCCGTGCCCCTTCCAGCGACGCGGCAGCCGCGGCACGGAGAAGCCCTGCGGACCTACCTTTGGGATCCACCTGGGCCAGGTAGGTCAGGCGGCAGCTGCTGGGCCCGGTTGAGTGCACCAGGTAGCCCGTGAGGAGAGACACTGCCCTCACCAGATCCTTGCGCGGAGGGTATTTCTGTGCAGACACGGCAGACAGTCAGACACAGCCTTCCACCTTCCCCAGCCCCACTCCCTCCCTCGTCCTGGCTCCCAATCCAGGAGAGTCCCGGCAGCTGGTGACCACCCAGCCCTAGGTGAACATTTGACCACCCAGCCCTAGGAGGGCGTTTTTGCCCCGCACGGTGCTGCTGAGACCCCGGGGCCACGCAGCCCGGCCTGCTCCTCGCTCACCGGGTGCTTGACGGAGAAGTTGATGATGGCGTGATAGCCGTCCTGAACGTGCCAGGACCGCAGCGTCACCACGTCCCTGTTCTTCAAGGGCTTCGGGCACCGCCCTGCGCAAAGGAGGAAGAAAAAAGCTGTATTTTCTGGGGCGAAACGTGCGGTCCGCGTGGAGCCGCGGCCCCTCTCCCGCCGCCCCGCGCTCACTCACAGGCGTAGTAGCCCACGTCGGCGTTGGCGGCCACGCGGGCGATGTCGTGCGTGTCGAGGACGTTGGTGTCCCAGCTGCGCCGGTACTCGCCGTCGTGCAGCACGTCGTAGACCGTCTCGGCCGCCACGTCCGGGATGTCGATGCGGCACTGCGGGGTGGGAGCGGCGGCCGTGGGCACGGGGACGGGGCGCCCTGCCCTGCCCTGCCCTGCCGCCCTCCTCGGGGCGCCCCGGGGGGCAGCGAGCGCCTCAGCGGGGCCGCCACCGCCAAGAGCGAGGAGAGGCGAGGCAGAGCGGCACCGCGGGCGCCTCACCTTGAGGCGGTGCACGCCGGAGCCCGGCGGCGGCGCCTGCACGCACACGGCGAGCCCGTCGCGCCCGTAGCAGCTCTGCCAGCCGCCGTCGGCCTCGCACTGGCGGCGGAAGGCGCCGAAGGCGGCGGCGTCCGGGACGCGCGCGGGCTCC